CTCCGGGCTTCGTCGCTGGACGGCTTTGAGGAGCCGGGTGGTGCCGAGGCGAGCGGCGGTCGCCTCATGTCGCCACCCGCGGGGGGACGCAGTGGTACCGCCGGGGAACGTCTCCCTTCCCCCCGGCCACCAATGGCGGGAGGGTGCGGGTGCGGGTGCGGGTCCCTGCCCGCCCGTCCTCACACCCGCTGCCTCCAGCAGCACTTTAGCCTAGCTGTAAGCACCCCGCCCCGACTGTGGGATGCAACGGGAAAAACGTTTTTAAGAGTTTTTCTGACAGGTATTTTTTGTAACGAGTTAACAGCCCGGAAGGTGTGGGACAGGAGAGAGGGGGTATCCGGCAATCGCTGCCCAGAGGAAAAATTGTTAAAACTCTGTCCTCGGTATGTGCGTGCTGCTACAGTGACAGTGTGTGTGTTTTCATATCGCATTGCTCTTTCTCAGAAATGCTATAACGGACGTGAAGAAATATGTAAAATGTCTGGAACTCAGGGGTGGGAAGGTTGCGAGAAGATTAAGTAAGTGTGTTGCAAATTAAAATATGATTTTATTTTTTTTTTCCTAATAAAATGCTTATTCAGTCTAGGAAGTCATCACTCAAACACATGATCAAGCCAAAGTGTTTAGGGGGACCTAATAAAAAAAATAATAAATATTTCAGGCTAGCTAGCATAAATATTAATAGTGGTGATAAAGCCTGATGCTTAAGGAGACACAGAAAAAAATAAATAGAAACATGGTCTGGTTAGAAAAAAAAAGTATTTTTAGGTTGCCTATTTGCTTAGTGGTCCATTATGAGATTTTTGTCTTTCAATTGACCATTTTTGGTTGAAGTAGCATATGAAATTATATAAACTATTGGGCTTATCTGGTAAAGTGCAATTCAGTTTCCCTATTCTGGGCATGTTAAATCGAAGCTAGCATGTGAACAGTACTTTTGAAGACAGTAGGCTAAAATGCAATCCTGCAGAAGTCATTTATCCCTATATGATCTTAGGTTTCCAAAGTTA